TGAGCAGGGTAAGAACAGGTAATTCTGCAGAAAGCTGTAGATCTCCCAGTCCTCTGCTCTGGAGAAAGAGCCTCCATGGAGTAAAGGAGCAACGCAGGTTGGCTTTGGAGAGGTATGGATGATGAGTTTGTCCATTGTTTAAAGGAAAAGCTGGCCCAAGGTGCAGGGTTCTTGGTCTTTTCCCAGCAAAGGCAGCTGCATGGAATAATTTACCCTGGGCAGAGCTCAATGCAAGCAGAGCCATACAGGAACTGCCACAGGGGTGAAAACTCAGAGACTTTGGATTTGGTTTAGAAAATAAAATAAAAGCAAGAAGGTTTTAAAAAGTTAATGTTCATCTACCTTGTGGCTGCAGAATCTTCCCGTGCTTGGACATCATTCCTACAGCTGAGGATTAAAAAGGCATCATCCCTTTGGATGGGTCTGGGCTCACATGACTCCGGGAGCGTGGAGATTTGAGGAAGAACTATTGAATGTCGTGAACTTTGCAGCTGGGCGGGGCCTCGGTTGGGCAGAAAAGCTTCCCACCTGAGCAGTGCTCCCAGGAGCCAGCCTGACTTAGGAGCCAGCAACTAACCCGAGAGGCTCCGAGTGTTGGGAGAGGATCAAAAAGCTCCTCTGGCAGTAAATCTTTCACCTGCCATGTGACTCACTGGGGCTTGTGGCCATTCCTCCGAGGTCGGCCCCGGGTCAGGATTTCTCCTGTCTCTTTAGCCCCCAAATCTGCAGATTTTTGTCTTATCTTTGACGCCATCTTGACACCGAAAACAAATTATGGCCCAATTACCCTTACTCAGAGGGGCTGGGGCCACCTTAAACGGCCACAACTCCCAGGCGCTTCCTTAAGAGCGGTAATTAGGGGGGCGTGGGGAGGGGGCAACAACTGGGGGTACCCCTGGCATGGGGCTGCCCTTGCTCCCCTGTTTGCCAAGGCAGGAGGGGACATCCCATGCAGCCCCTGCTATCCTATCCATCCCATCCTATCCCCTTCTGTCCCGTCCCGTCCCTGCCGCACCTTCGGGCTCCGCAGAGGCGAGCAGAGGTGGGGCTCCCTGCCCCGCCGGTGTCCGGGGTGGGGGCTGCCCTGCCCCAGCCCCCCCCAGCCCTGTGTCACCCAGAGGTGACCTGTGCCTGGCCAGCCCAGAGGGGCCCCGGGAGCAGCCCCGGCCCTGGCCGTGACCTTCGGGACGACCTCGAGCGCGTCCCTGCCCGGGCTGGGGACCGGCCGTGCCTCTCATTCCAGGCCGGGACATTTCCCTGCTCACCCCGAGAAACGCGGGACAGCAGCATCGCGGCTGAACCGCCCTAACAACCGACCTGAAACTTCTAAACATTGTTTTTCTTCCCATCTTTCAGTGTCGTTACACTGTCTTCTCCTCTGCTCTGTCCCTGGGCATTTGTTTGCCCAGGCTTGTGCTGTCTGCCTGAACCCAGCAGCTGTTTTGGGAACTGGCAAATCCAGCCTGCAGCCTGGACAGTGCTCATGGGTGATCGGGTGGCTGGGTCTGGGTGTTTCTTTCTCCTCCTTTTATTTTTCTTTTTTT